ATCAAAACCGAAAGTTTCTGTGGTATGACTGCCGTTGCACTGTTCACCATGTAAGAACTTATTCACTATGTAAGAACTTGTTCACCATGTAAAAACTTGTTCGTTATGCTTCAGAAGATTGGAGACTGTTAACAATTAGGCTTGGGGTCGATTAATGATTGTGCATTGAGTCGTCTATACAGAATTTTATTGTTGTTAACAACCATATGATCAATAAATATGAGAGATGCCCTCTCAAAAAAAGGAAAAAAAATAATTCACTTCTCCAGTCACACTAGCCCCATTTCAAGTGCTCAATGGCTACCCATGGCTACTTGGTGACTAGACTGGATGGAGAGATACAGAACATTTCCATCATCCCCAAAAGTTCCACTGGACTTGCCTGAAGCTACAAGGCTAATTAATAATCGGCAGCCCAGAGCCAGGCCCAGCAGGCAGCCCGCAGAGCCCTGCTCTCCCCTGTTACATTCTTTCTCCCAGACCAGTGGTTGGGACTGAACAAGACAGGGCAGGTGCAGAGCCAGGAGCACACTGGGCACTCTGTGACTCTTCCTTCCCTCTCCTTCCTAGTGCAGCAGGCGTGACATTCCACTCCCTGGGCTCCCTCCCTGGCCTTTCTCCCATCCTCCTGACTGGAGTGTCTCCCAAATCTTCAACTCCTCTCTCTTCAAACTGTGAGAAACCACTCTGCCCTCACCATTCAGCCTCTGACCTTCGCAACTGCTCGTTCCCAGGTGCCTGCAGTCTGGCCCACCCCTGGGGGGCTTCAGGGTCAGTTGCTCCATCACCCTTGCTGTTCTGGCCTGGAGAGATTGATCCATGCTGCCAGTGAAACTGGTCCCCAGCTAAACTCCCAGCACCACGTGACCGGCTCCTGCCATTTTCAGCACGCTGGTTCCCTGCAGCCCCACGCTCAGGGGATTGGGACCCCCCCACCCCAAGTTCTGCCTGGTGCGGTCTCCACACTATCCTCTGCCCAGTACTTCCCTCCCCACGTCCTCCCTGCCTTTCCACAGCACAGCTCACCTGGGCGCCCAGCGCCTCCCACCTGCTCACGGTGTCAGTCATGAGTCTCTACCTGTTCCCTACCCCTCCCCAGCCATCCTACTCAGTGTTGCCAGAACCACCACTGGCAAACACTCTGCCACACACCCCTCTCGGCTCCCAAACCCAAACCCCTCCCTCCCTGTGGTCGCGGGCCCTCACCTCCCAGACAAGAGACAAGCCCCGTACAACCCTGGCGTTGCCTCTCTGGCGGGGACTTGTTTGGACAGTTCCGTGGGCACCCAGAACGTCGCTCAAGCCTTTTCCTCCCCCCAGCAAGTCAAGTCAAAGTCAGCATGAATTATTTAAAGAATCCTGCTGGGAGTCCTTTGGTGAAACAAAGAATCCTTTTGTCATGCAAATGATCACACCTAATTTCCCTTGTTTTGTACTTTCAAGTTTAAAAATCATCTTTCCCTTGAACTGAAACACACCTCCTCATTGCTTCTCCCTGCCCCCTACACACGCAGAATTCCAGAATCCAGGGGAACTTGGTACAAGCCTTTCTGCCCTCTGCTCAGAGCATACTTGCTTTGCACACACCTTTTGTTCTCCCCTGCTCCTCCCACTGTGGATCCATTTTCTTCCCCTCCTTTTAAAACCTGCTTCCAAGTTCCCCTTCTCCAGCAGCGTTTCTCTAATTAACCTCCCTGGCCCCATTGCACCTTCGTTCTGCAGAATCTCAGCCATGAGTAGCCACGGCCTCCCAGAGCTACAGTGCTGAAGGAGACCGTGAAGCCGGCCCAATCCAACTGGCTCATTCTACTGATGAGAAAACAGGCCCAGAGAGGGGGCATAACTTGCTCTGGGTCACACAGCCAGTTGGTGAGGAGGACCCAGGTCCCCAGACTCTCAACCTAGAATCTGTCCCTCTGTGTACATGGCTGACCTACATTTATCCACGTGTTGTGCGTGTTTCCATTGTATTGTGGGTGTCTTCTAGATTAGGGAGAGAAGAGAAGGAAATGGGGGCTTCAAAGGCATGTAAGTTTTGAAGGCAAGGTGTGGGGCTGAGCAGAGAAATGGGTCCAGATTTGCCATGCCTGCACGTGCAGTAGTGACGGGACATGTAGCGGGGTGTTCAGAGGGCTCGGGTGAATGACTGGGCTTGGAGACATGGACTGATTTGTGTGGAAGAAGGAAGGGTCTCTCGGAGCTGGAGAACTCACGTGCCATCCTCGTTGCTTCTGTAAAACACCAAGAAGGGGTCAGACTTCCCAAAGAAATCTTTCTTGTCTAGCTTGTTGGCACAGAACTGCATTGTGGCGACATCCTGAGAGGAGGGAGGGAGAACAGGAGGGTGAGGTAGGACATGGCTGGAGGGCACCCCAGTCCCTGCAGAAACACAGCCCCAGGGTGCTAGAAAACATGCGGACCCACACGCCTAACTGGTTAGAAAGGACAGCATCTTAATGTGCCCCACACCAACTAAGGGCCAGGGCCTTGGCTAAGATGCCGGAGGGTCTCATTTCATCTTCAACCAACCCCACCCAGCAGGCAAAGTGCTAGCAGGTGCATGCTGGAGCTGGCTGTCTCACTGTGAATCTGCCACTTTCTAGCTGTGTGCCCTGGGAGTGTCAGTTTCCCCTCTGTGACATGGGGCTGATTACAGCACACGTCTCAAAGGGCTGTGTTGAGGGCTAAAGGAGATCGACGTGAGAACTGCTTAGTGGAACACAGCCACACTGCACCCATGCCATCAATGTCAATGAACATGGTTTCATTACTGTTGTACTGAGTGGCTCAAAGAGGCAAAAGGCCAAGAGTGACCAAAGGCCACTCTGAGCCAGCCCCCAACCCCGAAGCCCTCACTCTGTCCACATTGCCTCACTCTCTCACTCATATGTGTAGCCCCAGAGGACAGTCACCTTCACACCCTCTAACCCACCAGAGGCCCTCCCAGCTGTCTCAGCTAGATGTGGCGAGGGTCACGTCCCATTTACAGCTGAGGCTTGAGTTTCTGACCCTCCTGACCAGGTCACAGCCCAGGCTGACCCAACACTCAGCCCTACGAGCACAGAGAAGGGGCCCAGGCTCTGGTGGGATGGCTGGACCACTCCCCTCCCATGGCCCAGCCCCTCAGCCTGCTGTGGCTGACAGGGCATTGGGCAGAGATGCCCCCACATCCTCCTCTCTACCATCCCCATGTGGCCTCTCCAACCTAAAAGCCCTGCATCCTGACCAACCAGCTGCCCACTGGCTAGAATTCAGGGGTCCGTCTCATTGTCCCTCAAGGGCCAGGGCCTGACCCCAGCTCTGTCACACTGCCCCCTTCCTCTCAGTGGGCAACACGATCCCTTAAGATCAGTGTCCCAGGGAGAACCAAAATGGTGTCAGAGATAAAGCGGCAACCTCCCACAAGCTGAAAGGGCAGTCACAGCTGGGGGCGGGTGTGGTGTAACGGTGGGGAACACTGGAAGAGCCAGGTTGCATGCTTCAGTCCCATCCCTTCCTAGCTGTGTGGCATATTCACCCTCTCTATGCTGTTTCCTCATCTATAAAATGCATATACTGGCAGCACCTAACTCATAGGCTTGTCGTGGGGATGAAATGAGTTAATACAAGTACGGTGCTGAGAACAGTGTGCAGCGCAGTGTATGGCTCTAAAGGCCGTGTGTGCAAGCGGTCATGGTTATCTGGACACTTCTCCTCTCCCCCACAGCCTGTGTGGCTTCTGTCCCTGCCCTATCCCCACCTCTACACCCTCACATGCCTCCCCTCCAGGACATCTGACAACAGTAAACACAGAGCATCTCTCCAATCACTAACTCATTCATTCATTCACCAAACGTTTATTAGACACTATCTGTGTGCACCAGTCACTGAGCTCAGTGCTCTACATCCTTAGCATATTTAGCCCTCAAAACAGTCCTTTGTCACTTCTTTACATATGTGGAAGCTAGGGGTCAAACAAGGTAGGTAATCTGCCCAAGATCATCAGCTGGTAACTGGGAGAGCAGAAATTCAACATGTATGAATGGATTTCAAAGCCAGCACACCAGTCTGCCTCTCTGACAGAGAGCACATCACAATTTGTGAGGCCTGCTTGCCTGATTTTCTTCGGACTCCGCACTTGTATGGGCAGGGAGGGACTGGACCCTGGTTAACCAGGGAAGTGCCTAAGGAAGGGAGGCTCTGAAGAGGGCTGGTCCTGAGGCTCGGTGGCCATATGAGGCACCCGGGTAATGACAGCTTTACCATACCGGTCATCATTGCCCATCTGAGAGGAACCAGAAGGCTGGCCTGGGGGCTTCCAAGCCCTAGAAGCCCCAGGAATCCTAGAGCCTCCTGAGATATCTAGGACTTCAGACCTGGAATAAGAGAATGGCTGACTTATTAAGCACCTGTTAGATGCCAGGCACTGTTATGCCTTCTCTTTACATTATTTCACTGAATCCTCATAACACTCATTTGAAGTAACTACTCTCCCCATGTTACAGATGTGGAATCGGAGGCTTTTAGAGGTTGTCATATGCCTCTAAGGTCACAGTGGGTGACCCAGGCAGTTAGACTTCAGGGCTTTTCCTCTCAGCCTCCCACAAGGACCTCTAGCCTCCTAAGTCCATCCCCAGCAGTCCCCATCTATCCCCAGGAAAAGTTCCAGTCCCACCCCATGCTGGATAGAGGCAGACCTTTAAATGCCTCCCTGGGGCGCTCCAGGAGGAGGCCTAGGACCCAATGAGCTGAACTCCTCCCAGCACTAGACATAATCTGTAGGCCCAGCGTAAAGGAAACTTTGTTCAAAAGTGAGGTCCTTTGTTCAAAAAAGTATTAAGAAATTTCAAAACAATGAGAGCAGAGCATCAAGCCAAGCACAGGCCCTGTGAGACTGCACAGGCCACACACCCATGAAGGCAGCCCTGGCCCCTCCCCACAGAGGCAATGGGAAGGTGGCATCAGAACACACCAAGAGAGGACCAAACCGCGGAGGAGGGCAGTGGGGACAGCCCCCGCGAGGACCCCAGAGTTCTGAGTTCTAGTTAGTCCCCACAGGCCCTCAAGCTCCCCAGGACTCAGTTTCCTCATCTGTAAGTGACATGCTAGACAGGATGCCCTCCCACTGTCCTTTTAAGTTGGGTGGTTTAGGCTTCGGTGCTGATGCCATAGGGAGCATACTAGGATGGGCAGCCATTGGGGAAGGCTGGCATTCAGGGAACAGTCTGGGAATCCAGGGCTCCTTCAGCCTCCCAAATCCAGCTTGGTTGTGTTTCCAGATGTGACCCCACACATCCGGATGTCACCTGTGTGACACCTGCACTGAGCAAACATAGGCGAGTCACATGGGACAACCTGCACTGGCTGATGGGTTGACATATGTATAATATACATACAATTTGAATATTTGAAACAACCAAATCAGACACTACAAAGTCCAGGGCAAAAGCTCTTATTTTGCTTTCTAGGAGAACCCCTTAGGACCCTGCAAAGTCAGAAAGGGAAGTAGGAATATGAGAAAAAAATGGATGCAGAACTTAATAGACTATAACTTCCAGGACTATTAAATGCTCTGCTGGGAGGGCCACTGCCCCCACACAGCACCTGATAGAACAGTACAGAGGAGCCACCTGATCAGAACGGCACCATTGCCACCTACCAGCTGAGCAGCCTGGGGCAGGCAGCTTAATCTAAGCCCTGGTGTTCTCCTCTGGAAAATGGGCATAAAAATGCCCCTGTGAGCCTGTTGGGAAGCCTGAAGGAGATGGCCTATGCGAAATACCAGTCCACAGGTCTAGCATGGAGCAGCTATAGAACAGGACCCAACACTCGCAGAGCACCATCTACTACTGGGCTGAATCATATCAAATTGCCAATGGCAATATAATATGGTTCTACCTAATATGTGCCAAGCACTGTTTTTACATCTATTAATTCATTTCATCCTCTCAACAACCCTGTGAGATAGGTACTATTATTATTCTCATTTTAAAATGAGGAAACTGAGGCACAAAGAGGTTAATATCCTTGCCTGAAGCCACACAGCAAGTAAGAGGAGAGGCTGGGATTGGCACAAGACAGTCTGACTTGAAGATTAATAACTGAGATTCCAAATGATGACCCTGAATCATGAAGATAAGTTTAATTATGTTCTGTAGCCTCAGTATGAGAAGTCAGAGAAGTGTGAAATCCATTTTAGAAAGGCCTCCTCCAAGCAAACTAGTTAAAATTAAAAAATAACATAAAATAAAGACTGGCTCTGAAATCCAGCTAACTGGAAAAATCCATCAGTGAGCCAGATCTCACTCCCTGCTGATGGCAAATATATGCAGGTTGCTGGGCTTATTTTGATGCCCAACCTAATCTGCCCTCCGTAACACAGTCTAGACTGGAAATATTCACCAAAAGCCCATTATGATAATCAGTATTGTTGTGCCATTGTTGAATCTGCGGGGATAAGACAGAACTTCTGAAAGATTTCTAGGCTATAACCAAGGCAAGCTTCCTCCCTAATGGGTTAGAACCCTGTGGGGAGTCCTTGAAACAGGGATCTGTAGATGTCCAGGGACTGTGCTTTTGAGGGTGGCTATGGGTTATATCAGTAGTCATATGAACAAGACTTCAACTGCTCTCCTTAAATGGGGGTTAGTAAATGAATCAACCCTTGATATACATGTGACCCCAGAAGAGGTTGAGAAGTGGCACTAAGATGGACAGATCCAGCAGTATTAGGGAGCACCAAATTCTGACTGAGGGTCAGAGGTCCCACTGTTTGCTGGCCTCAGCCTGAGCGTAAGGCTCTTTGAGCATATAAAATGCTGTTTTTAAACCAGAAGCATCTCGGGAATCAAGTGTGGAAAAGATAAAGCAGCTCTTGCAATACATAATTTCCTGCAATTTCTGTCTTTTCACCCTATCTTTTAAAAAAAACATATAAAGTTCTTCTAAAACAGCAGGATTGCCTCGATTTGCATCTTGCTGCATCTTAATCAGGCTGCTTGGGAGATCACAGCAAACAGCCTTTCTCTCCAGGGTGGCCTGGCCCACTCAAGCATATTAGCGCTCCCTGACCCAGAAGAGGGCCACAGAGGTCAGAGATCAGGCCCAGAGTCAGTAAGTAGGCTGAAGGCTGGGAGAGGATAGCAACACTTAGAAGAGGAGAACAGAAGGCTGCTCTGATTTGGATCTTGCTGGCAACCCCAGGGTCATAACAAGAATAGGTGAATGCAAAATGTAAGGGGCTCCAAAAATCTCAGTAATCAAAATAAAAATTCTAATGTGGTATTTTTAAAAATAAAAAAATCTGCAATAAACAAAACATCAAAAATTTAAACAAAG